CAGAGAAACAACAAAGAAGGAAGAAATTACGAAGCACGAAGAATCAACAAACCGCAGAAAAATAATAAAGCGAACGAAAAAACAAAAATAAACAAACCCATTTATAAACAATGGTGAAGCAGGGCAAACAACAAGGTTTGATTTTTTATTTTTTTTTCATTTTCTTGGAAACAGACCCATTTGGGTGTGCTTAAGCAGAGCAAAAAGGTTTATTTGTTATAGAATTTCATGATTTTGAACATATCCACTCATGGGTATTATGCCTCGACTTTATTCGGTGTTTCCCCTAATCATTAAATCGGTTCCAATATTTGTTGTTCTGTTGTTTGGGTTTGCAAAGATCATTTATTTGTTGTCGAATTTCATGATTTTGTAACAGTTTTCTCATGGGTATTATTATTCGGTGACATTAGCATGTCCCCAAAGCATTTTGAGTCCTAACAAGGGTTTCATATAGGATATGGGAAAGAGGCTTATTGTATTGTTCGTACTGGTTCTATAGTATGTGTCATGCGCAGTAATGGTATTAATATGTGGTACTCGAAGTATAATCTTTGATGGTTCTATAGTATGTGTCATATGCCACAATAGTATTACTAGTGCCTTTGAATGGTATTACTAGTGACTTCGGATGGTATTGACATGTGGTACTAGAAGTATAATGTTTGATGGTCCTGTAGTATAAGTCATATGCCATAATAGTATTACTAGTGCCTTTGAATGGTATTACTAGTGACTTCGGATGGTATTGACTTGTGGTACTAGAAGTATAATGTTTGATGGTCCTGTAGTATAAGTCATATACCATAATAGTATTACTAGTGCCTTTGAATGGTATTACTAGTGACTTCGGATGTTATTGACATGTGGAACTTTATAGTACGTTGTATTTGTTATAATTGTATTTGTTTTATGTGTATGTAATTGCAGGAATTAATGTAAAAGAAGATTGCAGCAAGCTATCAATAGGCTGCAGGTGCTCACCGATCGCTTTTCAAACAACCATGGAAGGTGTGAAAAAAGTGATGAAGAAACAACATTATGAAGTACTGAAGAAAAATCCCTTCTATCACTACATGGACATGCCTAAAATAAACCACAGCTTCCATAGGGTTGTGTCTCTCATGCAAGCGTACAATGTAAATAATCGGGCCTTCTGGTTTGGGGGAAATACTATACGCTTGGAAGTGTTTTGGGGTTTTTGTGTTTTTTTGTAATTAATGAACAGATGAATGTGTTTTTGTGCCATAAACAATCTGTCATTTTGTTGTAGAGCTAATAATACTATTGATTAGCTCGCTTCGTACTTATCCATTGTATCCATTGTATTATATGTTTCTATGAAATGTACTTACCTTTTGAACACATGGTACTTTATTTTGCGATTAATTAATTTGTATAAAGAATATAAGCGTACCATAAAAATGAGCAACAAATACTTTCTAGTCTATTCGAAGATACCTTGTTAACACTAGACTTGTACTTACTTGATGAACAAAGCGTACTTCACATGTGTATTCACGAAAAACTTACCATAAACTGAAGAATTGTGTCTATTCATTCTTAATAGTCTTAAAATGAAGAGTTATGCCTTAAAATGCGATCATATGGATGCATTGGCCCCACAATAATATATAGATTGTAACAATACTATATGAATGGCAAACATATACTTTATCAGTGAACAAAGCGTACTATAGTCACGAATCACTTGTACTTCACATGTGTATTCATTGTACCTACTTGATGAACAAAGCGTACCATATTTTTTGATGAATTGAATTGTACCAATTCCATTGACGCTTTAATGGTCAATAAGTACGGGAGATGCATAAATTATGTTTTAGATGATTATTTTAAGGTAGGTGAGCATTATTGTTGCGTTTGGAATACAAGATCCCATAAATATGTTGAATTTCATACATGATACTCATATACTATACAATATATTCATACAAGTCTACAATGTTCAAGTGTAAAACTAATATTTTCTTCAATTGTTACCATAATAGATATTGATCGACTCCCACATTGTCTCCATTCATTCTTAATAGTCTTAAACTGAAGAGTTGTGTCTTAAAATGCGATCATATGGATGCATTGGCCCGACAATAATAAATAGAGTGTAACAATACTATATGAATGGCAAACATATACTTTATCAGTGAACAAATCGTACTGTAGTCACGAATCACTTGTACTTCACATGTGTATTCATTGTACTTACTTGATGAACAAAGCGTACCATATTTTTTGATGAATTGAATTGTACCAATTTCATTGACGCTTTAATGATCAATAAGTACGGGAGATGCATAAATTATGTTTTAGATGGTTATTTTAAGGTAGGTGAGAATTATTGTTGCGTTTGGAATACAAGATCCCATAAATATGTTGAATTTCATACATGATACTCATATACTATACAATATATTCATACAAGTCTACAATGCTCAAGTGTAAAACTAATATATCGATCGACTCCCACATTGTCTCCATTCATTCTTAATAGTCTTAAACTGAAGAGTTGTGTCTTAAAATGCGATCATATGGATGCATTGGCCCGACAATAATAAATAGAGTGTAACAATACTATATGAATGGCAAACATATACTTTATCAGTGAACAAATCGTACTGTAGTCACGAATCACTTGTACTTCACATGTGTATTCGTTGTACTTACTTGATGAACAAAGCGTACCATATTTTTTGATGAATTGAATTGTACCAATTTCATTGACGCTTTAATGATCAATAAGTACGGGAGATGCATAAATTATGTTTTAGATGGTTATTTTAAGGTAGGTGAGAATTATTGTTGCGTTTGGAATACAAGATCCCATAAATATGTTGAATTTCATACATGATACTCATATACTATACAATATATTCATACAAGTCTACAATGCTCAAGTGTAAAACTAATATATCGATCGACTCCCACATTGTCTCCATTCATTCTTAATAGTCTTAAACTGAAGAGTTGTGTCTTAAAATGCGATCATATGGATGCATTGGCCCGACAATAATAAATAGAGTGTAACAATACTATATGAATGGCAAACATATACTTTATCAGTGAACAAATCGTACTGTAGTCACGAATCACTTGTACTTCACATGTGTATTCGTTGTACTTACTTGATGAACAAAGCGTATCATATTTTTTGATGAATTGAATTGTACCAATTTCATTGACGCTTTAATGATCAATAAGTACGGGAGATGCATAAATTATATTTTAGATGGTTATTTTAAGGTAGGTGAGAATTATTGTTGCGTTTGGAATACAAGATCCCATAAATATGTTGAATTTCATACATGATACTCATATACTATACAATATATTCATACAAGTCTACAATGCTCAAGTGTAAAACTAATATTTTCTTCAATTGTTTTTTTTTTTTTTTTTTTTTTTTCAATTGTTACCATAATCGATATTGATCAACTCCCACATTGTCTCCATTCATTCTTAATAGTCTTAAAATTAAGAGTTGTGTCTTAAAATGCGATCATATGGATGCATTGGACCGACAATAATATATAGGCTGTAACAATACTATATAAATGGCAAACATATACTTTATCAGTGAACAAATCGTACTATAGTCACGAATCACTTGTATTTCACATGTGTATTCATTGTACTTAGTTGATGAACAAAGCGTACTATATTCACGAATAACCCAAACTTTACCAGCTTATACATTGTACTTATTTGGTGAACAAAGCGTACTATATTCACGAATAACCCGAACTTTACCAGCTTATACATTGTACTTATTTGGTGGACAAAACGTACTATATTCACGAGTAACCCGAACTTTACCAGCTTATACATTGTACTCTTATGTTCACTAATTAAACAACAGTACATAGGTTTTACATAGCATGTAGACTGCAAATATTACTAGATTCAACACTATCAAACTATGAACTACTCCACCTTCAGAATTGCAATTCTTCACTTCACTTTCTTGATGGACTTGGTTCATCGACGCACTTGTAGCTTCATTTTCTTCACGATTTGAGTTGGAAAAAGTTTGCCCAACTTCAAATGGTTCACACCAATGGGAGTAGCCATGGTGTGGGCAACAGTAAAATAACCTTCCGGGATTCGAAACCATTGTGGGGTGGGTGGGTTTTACAGTGATTTTTTCGTCGGAAAAAGAGAAAACCAGAGGAGAGAAAGAGAGAAGAAATAGAGAAGAAAGAGAGCAGTAGAAACAGAGAAGAAAGAGAAGAAAGAAAAAGAAGATGAAGAGAGAGAAAAAGAAGAGAGAGAAAATGGTGAGAGTGAAAAAGAAGAGAGAGAATATAATAAAATATATAAAAATCACATTAGGGACTGAACTGCATGTCAGACGCGTGAATAGGGACTGAATTGCTTGGGGAAACTACCTAGGGACTGATCTGTGTGTTGAGTTTTGGATTAGGGATTTATCTGTAGTTTCCCCTTAAATAAAAACGCGAAAGTCCTTTTCAAACACAACATAAATTAGACGACCGTAGCTGTAGTGATTTGATACTAAAGTTTGACCATAAAGCAGGCTTGCGTTTATAATTGGAGTTTATAAGTGAAGAAAATTTGCAGTTTTTATCCTTTTATTTATCTTACGCAAGGAATATAGTAAGTAATTAATTTATGTTTTACAATTTTCATACTACAACTTTTACTAAATGAATAGTTGTTAAACTATGTAAAAGAAAGTGTCTGAATTCATGCCTAAAAGAAAACGGTAGCATATGAAATAAAGGAACTTCTATATATATTATTAACTGTACATGAAAAAAAAAAAACAAAGAGGGCAAAGTTCTCCTATCTTAGTAATCGACAGTAGATCAGCATTCTTCAAAACTCGAATATCAGGTTGGAATGGGCAAAAAACGAAAATAAGAAATATATCAAAAACAATATTAGGCAGAATGGAAAAGGAATTATAAAGAACCTGCCCCTTTCCCCCATCTTTTTAGTAACCCAAACAAAACAGTTCGTAATCAATAATAGTCACTTTCATAAGCCTAGGAATGTGGAAGGCAAAATATTTACAACTGCAACAGAGAAAAAAAATGCATATTACTTCAGTTAGGAAAAAAAAATATTACAAAATAATGAGACAAATTGTTGCATACAAGAAAATTTGTATACATACAGCGGTACATTATAGAGTAGAAAAATACCTGTGGTAACATGAACGAATAAAAAAATCAGTTCACTTTTTCCCAAGAGTATAATAGTAAAAGCAGTGTGCCAAGATCTTCTTATGAGGAGTACAATTTTCAAAAAACACGAGCAATGCACTTCTGTGGAAGGTCACGCCTATTTAAGGCAACCCGTAGAGGGACATCATTTTTTCAAAAGCAAAAAGTGTGGTAACAGAACATGTGGTGCACCGACAACAGGCAGCTGCATTATATTGAAATTTTTCGTAAATAAGACATAATGAAATAATTTATGGCGGCCGTCATGTGAGAGGGCACAGAGCAGATAAAAAGATATGGTAAGTGCAAAAAAGCTCTGTAAATTACAAGGCAGTTGAAGTTATGAATATGGAAGCATATACCTGTAAGGAAAGTGTTATTAAAGACATGGCCTTTGGTATCATTTCCACAAAAAGAGAACATATATATGGTAGAGGAAACACACATCAGAGCAATGGTAACGGAGGTTGTCCGTAGCCGACAAAATATATATATTCCCTGTAAATTAAAAAAAAATTAAAATAAAAACAAGCTGGTGCTTTATTGGACAATATTCAGTAAGAGAAGTAAACAAAAAAGTTTGTGCCGTTTATCATATAGAAGAAAACGGAGTATTTGAATTTACCATCTAACTCTTTCTGAATTAGTAAATTTAATAATTTGGAGCACAAACATAGGTATTCCGCCCGACATACATAATAAAGAGGTGCCATGTACAGTGAATAGTGAGTAGCAACAAACCGCGGGAAAATACTGTAGAAGAAGTGTAGGCAATGGTCCGAGCAGTATCACATCGTAACGAAATAGACAGCAACGACCGTAGACGTACAACCGCATGCCTCATAATAAGAGCAGATCAAATAACCAGTACAATCCAGCGGCGTACACGAATGAGGCACGGTGTTGTAGAACACGGAAGAGCTAACACGAAGAATCCCCAAAGGAAACACCTAATAATCGTAAAAACAAATGAATAGGAGGAATCGTCTCTCCACAAATAAATTTAAAGAAACTCAAATACACTTTGCTAGGGGTATAAAGAATTTTTACAGGAAGATGGGATAAGGTTTCGTAAGCAAATTGTTGGGGACGTACAAACTGTAAAACCAAAAGAAAATTCATAAAAAAAAAAAGAAAAACAATTTGTAAAAAATCAGAAACATTATTGGATGAAACATTAAAAAACTTTTGAGGCAAAAAACCCACAACACCTCATTTCGCCACCACCAATGTAATAAAAAAAATAAGAAGATGATACTAAAGCAAAAGGAAGCTCATAAGAAAGAGAAGACATACTGTACAAAGTATGAAAAATTATTAGAAAAAACATGAAAAACTCTCAAATATAAACAAAGGACAGTGGTAATGGCGAACGAGTCTGGGAAGAAATTAAATTAATACAAAGAACAGTGTAAGCGTTCCAACCGAGAATTGTGGTTGGTTGAGCAAGCGTTGTTTGTAAAATAAAATCGATCGAATCAATACCAATACATAAAAATTGGGAGAACTGGAGAAGAAGAGGATGAGAACGAATATATATATATATATATAAAAACACGAAATGAATATTAATTTAATAGTGCTTAATCATAAAATGCTTACGCTGATTTGTTCGTGGAGAAATTTGATGTATTCGATAGCATCCGAAAGCACAGAAGCCGTATCGGTCTGTGGAAAATGGTCGAAGATTCAATCTTATAACATATGATATATCATCAAAATAGGTTGCTAATTAATTAATAATTAGCATATATATCGAAAAAATTTAATCGTACATCATATATGTAGAGTTTATTGCATTTACTACCCCTGTGAAAATCGTAACTGCGCGATTCCCCCCTATCATAAAAAAATTAGCAAATACCCCCCTGTGCTTATTTTTAGGATGCACACTCGACCCATTTACATTTTAGCCCATTGACCAGCTGCGTAAAGACCAAAATACCCCAGGGGTGTTTCTGCAATTAAAAAATGTATAATTTTTTTTATTGTAATAGTTTTATTTGAAAACACAATTTGATTTCTTATTTATTTTATTTCCGTAAAAAATCTGTAGTTTAATTGTTTTGGTTAAAAATATATTGTAAACTAGAGTGTTTTATATTTGTTTTGAAATTTTATTCATTTCCATTTTTTTTTTTGAGAACATTTCCATTTTATTAAATATGAACAAATAAATTAAAAAAGAGAAAAAAAAAAAGTAAAAAAAATAAAGAAGAAGACATCATCTTCTACGGTTCTACCCCGTCAAACCACCCCCGACTCCACCCAAAAAGAACATCTTCATCTTCTTCCCAACCGCCGCCGCCACCGCCGCCACCCCTCACCATCGACTTTAGTACTATTATGGACCGAAACCATCTTCCAGGTCTGTAATTAGTAATAGCAGAAGATAAATTGGAGTTGGAAATAATTATAGATTCATATCTTCTACCAGTTGCTCACCCTCTTTCCACCACCGCCGCTGCCGCCCCTTTCTCGACTGCCGGAGCGCTGCTGCTGTTGGTCTTTTCCCTCATCGCGGCCGCAATTCACAACACCATTTTCTTGTTTCTTGCACCTTCAGAACTTGCAAACCTGAGTTTTGGATCTAAATGGCGGAGAGGATAGCAGAGACAAAGCGTCGGTGAATAAGCCTATTCCCGTGATGACAATGGCGCCGGCGATGGTGATGATTTGTAGGAGTAGGTGGCTGATTTGGGGCTGGGGTGAAGATTGAGGGTGCAAATTAGGGTTTTTAAAAGAACTTTATAAATTACAAATTGATCCTTAAGAAATTAGATTATTCCAAATTAAACCCAGCTGAGTTTATGTTTATTTGTGTGAGGCTATTTTTGTCATTTCATAAACAAAACTCTCTTAAAAAATCGCACAGGATGCGCGTGTGGGACACGATATGCTCTAAGGGACCTAAATGGCTTTGACATTTTTTCTTAGGGGGGTATTTGCTAATTTTTTTATGACAGGGGAGAATCGCGCAATTGCGATTTTCACAGGGGTAGTAAATGCAATAAACTCCATATATGTATATATAATCCGGCCACTTGTTGAATTGAATAAAATTAGAATTATACCTTTCCAAAAGGTGAGACTAATTGTTGAAGTGCAGTTATTCTGTCTCCCATCTTCTCTTTCCTCACCTAAGAGCAACTCCAATGGGATTATCAAATAGAGTATTCAAACATTTAACTCCCATTTACAAACTTAAATTTGGAAATCTTTAACTCCAATGGGGTTATCAAATGAGGTTTTAATTTTGATATTTCACCTTTTGGGTTGTAAAAATACTTGCTGAAAATTGAGTTATCAAAAATGTAACCTCCTAAACACCCAATCAAAAGTTGACACGTGGCAATTACGGATAAAACCACCCATAAACTTCCAATTGATAATTAATTTGATAACTATGGTTGGAGTAGATGAATTTTAAATCAATATTAAAATAATTTTCAAATATCAAATGACTATTTGATAACTCAATTTTAATATCTAGCATTGGAGTTGCTCTAATAATAATCAAGAACAACAAACCGGATCGACATGCTCGTAATTATCGTCGTGTATCACACGAATAAAGTAAATTAAATTAAATAGGTTATTTAGGATCAGTACCATGACTGAGATTGAGTTGGAGGAAAGGGGTGGGCACCGACAATTCCTGAGTAATCCAAGTCGGATGTGATCGAAAACGGGGAGCGGTCTGCAATTGGACGAAGAATGAGGTGGGAAGTGACGCTGACAGCTGGGGCGGTGGCGTCGAACGAAGCGGCGGCGGCGGCGGCGGAAGACCTGATTGAGGGCGGCAGGGGAGGGCGGCGGTCAGAGTCAGCAATTGTAGCCCCGTGCACCACCGTTCAACACCTGGATGCACGCCGTTCAACACCTGGAGAGAATTACAGAGAAGAAGTCCTCGATTGCGGCGGAGGGCAGAATTAAAAAAAAAAAAAAAAAAAAAAAAAAAAGGAAAAGAGAAGCACAGAGGTCGATCGTGCATCCGCGAGAAGAAAAGGGAAAAGAAAAGAATTGTGCAACGTGATTGGGCGGTATTGATGAAACGACGCCGTTTTAGAGCAGAAGTGGCAAAAAAAAAAGTGAAAATAAATAGGGGGGCGGGATTTGGGGGCCATAGAGATATATATATACTTAATATATATATATATATAATGTATGAATAGAGAGGGGTATAGAATATATATAGATATAGATGACTTTAATATTGCTCATACTCTTCAACTATATTATGAGCCAATGGGACCATATTTCTAGCAACGACTTGAAAATTATTTCGTGTGAAGCTGTGATCGGCTGATTGTTTCATCTTTTCTTGAAAGAGCTGTAATTCGTACTCAAAACGGAACTCAACTCGAACTTGAAGTATGTCATTGCCAGCATCCTCTTGTTCTTCCGCTATTTTCATAGCCGATATAATCGCAGACTCATTGCACACATTCAATTCAATATGTCGAAGCGTTGGTATTTCTCCAATATCTAAAGGGATTCCGTCCAATTTGTCCATATATTCAAGAACAAGTTTCTCCAGAACTGGAAAATTGGAGGTGTCGGCATTCCAATTAACCAAACCACTCCCATATATTAAGAGGGATTTTAGGCGTAGGAATTCCCCGTCGACAGGATTCCACTCACGTGCTATGATCGAATTATTTCTCAATTTTAGAACTTCGAGACAGGGTAACGAACCAATGACTGTTAAATCTTCGTAACCAAGCATGAAACCATCTAATTTCAACTTCTTGAGCGAACTTGGGAATGTAAGCTTCCTCAACCTTTCATCCCCACAATACGATAAGCATGAAAGTGATTCAAGTTTATGCAACTGGCAAATATTGTGGAGGCAATAGTCATTATTATTTGACCATTCCCACTCATCGTCATACACTATGTTCAATTTCCTAACGTTGACGACTCTCTTATAAGCCTCCTTGCTCCACGTGAAGTTTACTACTTTCTTAAGTGTCTGGAGATTTGGCAAAACACACTCATCCTGTTTGTGGCCATAACTCCAAGGAGAATTAGGAAGGCACAATCTATAGATATCCACATGCCTAAGTTGTCGCATCTCCCAAATTTGAGATGGTGCTTCAATTTTCCCTCTGATAATTATTGTTTGCAAACTCCAGACAATGTTTATTGACGAAGGAAGCACAAAAGCGGAGGATAACTTGAAATTGGTGCAAGCAAGATACCGCATGTTAACGTGATCAACAATATGTCTGCGTAAATCTGTTTTCTTGGCTTCACTGTTCGACGACATTACTCTCAGCAATCTATTGTTAGACAATCGACCATCTATGCTTGTGACCCAAGTACGGGTAAGTGGTGCCAATCGCAAAGGACGAAGAGCACGAAACGTACGACCATCTCTGCTTGTAACCCAAGTACTAGTACGTGGGGCCAATCGCACCGTATGAAAGACACTAAACGGATACCTCACTTGTCTAATTTTTTTATCACATACAATACGACGTCCCCTTTCTGTTCCTCGTGGAATGTCTTCGATCACACAGATAAACTCTTCTTTCTGAGCCACCATGAGACATAAGTCTCTCACAAGATCATGGATTACGCAATTTTTCACATTTCCATTCGATCCCATTGTATGTTTTAAAATGAGATTTCTGTCAATGAGATCATTTATGTAACCTCGTGCAATCTCTTCCGAGCTTTGTGATTCATTTGATTTTATAAATCCTTCAGCCACCCAAAGTTTGGTCAATCGAGAGACAAGAATCTTATGGTCTTCTGGAAAAATTGCCATGTAGAGAAAACATGGTTTAAGATGAGCAGGCAAGTAGGTGTAACTCAAAGATAATATATTCGAGCAATTCTCGTCCTCTCCAGAGTTGAGAAAGGAGGTTAAATCTTTTGCAATATTTTTCCAGTATTTTTGGGTCATATGAGACCTTCCAAGAAGTCCACCAATCACAGTAATCGAAAGGGGAAGTCCTTTGCATTTCTTAACAATCTCCTTTCCAATATCCTCCAGTTCAAGAGGGCAACCGGCCTCACCAAATGTTTTTTTGCAAAATAGGTCCCAACTTTTATTCTCATCTAGAAAACTCAACTCAAACAACGAGGAGTCGAAGTGAGTAGCCACATTCGATATCCTTGTAGTCACAACAATTCTACTTCCATTGTTGTTTTCTGGAAAGAAAAGATTTACATTGTCCCAAGCTTCAATGCCCCAAATATCATCAATTACAATCAAATATCTCCGACCCCATAGTATTTTGTGCAACTTTTGTCCTAACAATTGCTCATCATGTTCACTGTCGATTTCACTACTTATCATTGAAAGAAGTTGTAAGAGAAGTTCTTTGACATTATACTTTTGAGATATAGTAACCCAAGTACGAATATCAAAATGGTGCGCAATAAGTGAATGTTCGTAAGCATTTTTGGCGAGAGTAGTCTTACCAATGCCGCCCATGCCAACGATTGGAATGATTTGCCGGTTAGACCTTTGCCCCGTGAGCTTGTCCAAAAGACTAATCAACTGCTCGTCAAATCCGACCATAGTATTCTTGTCGGTGGTAATACGAGGTGTACTTGATGAAGTAGTAGATGTGGGCTGCATATCATGTTCGTTGGATCCACTTTCATCTCTGAACTCCATAACCTTTTTCTTGATAGAATCCATGTCTTCTATTACCTTTTCGAGGTCGAGCATGGAAATCGAACTGGCGTGATTTTCCTCCATTCTAGCCTTCTTTAGGCGCATTGAAAGCATGATATCTTTCACTACTTTCCGTAGACGATGGCCTTCAACCGAACCTGCAGCTTGAATTTGGTCAACGACATGAGATTCGATTACGTCTTCAGCCGCATAGGCTGCAGAAGCAATTCGACGTTCCAAAACTCGTGCATGCTCGATTATAACTCCATGAGTATCAGTTTCTATGAAATCCAACAAGAAACCGACCTTTTCGCCGAGAGATTCGATCTGGTTCTTGTCGAAGGAAATCGAAAAGCGAGGATGATTTTGGATCTGGTCAATGATAGTCAAAACAGAAACAAGAGCTGCATAAGCTGCCATCTCTGATATATATATATGATCCTCTTTAAATCTTGTTTTGTGAATTAGGAGAATACAAAGTGAACTATAATATGTATGGCTGGAGCAGCAGCAAATTAAAATATTTAAAAAAAAATATTAAAAAAAAAAAAACACAACACTTAAAGAAATGGACTATTCATCAAAAAAATAAGTCAAAGTCTTCTTGGGCAAGTTCATCGAAACCAACTATCCATGCAAGTGGCAATTATCAAAACAAATTAGCTGGCAATTTGAAGGAACATGTTCCAAATACAAATATTAAATTCTAAATTTGTCAAAGCTGAATGTATTATATTTCATAGTTTTCTAATTGGGATTTTACCAAAACAAATTGTACTACACATCTCATCATATTCCTCATACATTTTCTATAGGGTAAATTACAATAACCTCCCTTAGGTATGGTCAAATTACAAAACCCCCCTCTTGTTTGGATAATTACAATAACCCCCCAACTCCTCAAATTTAGTGGAATCTTCAAGATTATATGGAATATTATCACTTTTGTACCCGTTTTATCTCATTCGAACTCTACATTTTGAAGCAAGATGATCATAATATGTGTTTTTTGGCTTGTATATATCAGATTGTGGTGCATCGAAAACTGTATTTTTACACAAAACGAGTGCAAACTAGAGCACATTCCACAAAATCTAGATGATTATGTTAAATTTGACACCATAAGGGTGAAGGTGTAAGAAAAAATCATAGTCGAGGGGGGTAGATGTAATTATCCAAACAAGGGGGGTTTTTCGTAAATTGACCATACCTCAGGGGGGTGTTTGTAATTTACCCTTTTCTATACAATGAAACAAAGATTAGAGATGGCCGACCCAATTCATCTGTACATGTTGTTTCTTGTAGAGGAGTGTGAAAGTAATAAAATAAATATATAAGGGGTGCCAATTTTATAATTTGTGATATTTGTGATGTTTGAAATAATATCTATTTGTTGCACTATAAAATGTGACTGTTGGAACACTCAATTTAGCGATTATTTATTTATGTTTACATGGGGTTTTTAAGGATTAAATATTTTTTATTCTTTGATGTAGTTAGCAAGGTTATTCATTTAGCCCATTTGCCCAAGTCGGGACCGGAGAAAATTATTAATTTGGCGAGGTTTTTAGTTCTTTCCTCGTTTTGTTTTTCAAATCCTTTGGCTGTTGCATTTTCTTTTCTTATTTTTACTATTTAGGTACTTCATACTTGTATTCCCTTGTTCTATTTTCATGCCAATGGATGAACGGGAAAACAAACCAGAAACCGAACCGAAAAGTCAAATGAACTAAAACCAAATGACACCGACATTCATGGTTTTTCATTTCCTAGAAACCAATTGTATCGAGTAGTGTTCGATTTTAGCTCAAAATCGAAGCAAACCGTACCGTCCACACCCTTAATAAAAAATTGTTCAATTCAATAGAACCATGAAATTCCATGCCTATCCCTACTACATCTCTTTCGAATACTATGCTTTAGAACGAAGAATTCAAACACTAGCATCCAATCATTATCACATTCCTCCAACACATTTGTACGTACGAAACAAACTATTTCAGCCACGAGCACGCAATCTTGCTTCATATGTTCGGATAAAGTGGAAATTTGCACTCCTCTATATATTTACCAAGGCTTGAGATCCCCAATTGGTCCAGCAGTCCAATTCAGAATCTTCTCACCGGGCTTCAAGAATATTCTCCCCTCGTGCGGTAGTTTACGAGCCAACCCATTCAAGATTTGGTGGAAAGCGTCTCCCGATTGTGCAGGTTGTGGGAATAGCATTGCCTGTTTCATCGAAGGATTTGCGAGTAACCTCTGCTTCCTTAGAATAACTTCAACTGGGATAGATGTTAGGACAGTGTCTAAATACGGGACATCTTTCTCCGCTACAAACACACCAATTTGCTCCCACGGAATAGCATCAGCAAACGGTAATACTATGTCGTCTGCTATTATAACCGGAATACAACCAAATATGACGGCTTCCACTAGTCTCGGACTCCACGGGGCCCACCCTAAAGGGCATAAACAGAAAACCGAACGCTGCATATCTTCGTAGTACGTGGTTGGGTGGTCTGTGGAGATATCGAATAGTGGGTTGTTCTTGAAATTCTCCCATATGGACGCTCTTGCCCCTCTGTACATCGAAACGAAATGCTAACGGCGGGGAATATAGATTATATTAAGTAATATTGCAATGCTCCTAGATTTATGTTTCGGGTAGATTCTATTTTTTCGGATTGTCTAAAGAAAGCAGTTTTATACCTGGCATAGTAACCGCCTTCAGGGTCGTTGTTGACATCGTAAAACAGACCACGGAAATAGACAAAGATGGATCTTGGAGTGTCGGGTGGAATCAAGTGAGACTGCATTTTCTCTGGGGGTGCGTACGGTGGTATTGTTATCGAACCTTCATTCAAACAAACGTGGTTACGTTGTCCGAATGTCTGAACCAAGGTAGCACGTTTAAGTAATGGAAGAATGCCTCTTTTTACAGCTTTCTCTTCCTACAATGGGACAAATCATAGCAACGTCATTGTGGAAATCAAGAAAATACGGAGAGAGAGAGAGAGAGAGAGAGAGAGAGAGAGAGAGAGAGAGAGAGAGAGAGAGAGAGAGAGAGAGAGAGAGAGAGAGAGAGAGAGAGAGAGAGAGAGAGAGAGAGAGAGAGAGAGAGAGAGAGAGAGAGAGAGAGAGAGAGAGAGAGAGAGAGAGAGAGAGAGAGAGAGAGAGAGAGAGAGAGAGA